CAGGAATATCTTTCAAGTGTGAATTCTTTCAGATGCCGGAGATAGGTTTTCGTTATGGAAGTTTCTCAGACATCTGATGCTTTTTTTTTTTGCACACATCTGACTCTCCTGTTTCAAAGGAGCGAGGCTCAAGTTCTTCACCCGCGTGAGCAAGGCTGAGGTGACCAAGTGCGGCTGAGACTGAGACCAAGGGGCTGGGAAGGGGCCAGCGCTGCCAAGACGGAACTGAGTGTTAACTTAAAGGGAAAGATGAACGGTGCATGCTGGAAACATCAGAAGAGATGGAAGAATACTGCTTCACGGCTGGAACTGGCCGAAGGCTGCGGGTATATCAAGCCACACTGTAAGCCATTGCCTATGGCAGGGGATGGCTTCTTCCCCAGATGACATGGCAAAGGAATGGTCCCTGTGGACAGGGAGGGCTGGCAGGGCATCACCAAGCCTGCAGACCTCATTCCTGTCCCGTCAAGGGCCTGAAGGAGAGAACATTCATAGGGCTTCATTGCCTCCTTCCTAGGAAATACAGTGCCCAGAGCCAAATGGAGCCTGAAATCCTGGTGTGACTCACATCCACTCTAACGGTGACCAAGCCACTCATGGTATTTCCGTCTCTCCTCTGAAGCCCCCAGCCCCAGGATGGCCCTGATGCCTCCACTGCTCTGAGTCTGTCGGGGAGTCTAAGGCCAGAGAAAGCTTTGGAAGCTGATGGAGCCACTCTGAACCCAGGTCCAGTTAAGTTGTTGTGTAACTCAGGGCAACTGAATCTTTGATTTCTAGTTTCTCTGCCGGAAAAGCAGGTGAAGGGAGGCAAAATACACACCTGCTGTTGAGTAACTGAAGATGAAGTGATGTCCTTTCAAAAGGGCCCACCTGCCTGGATGCAGTGAAGCTCTGCTAAATAATGTCACATATCAGCTGTGCACAACAGCTCCCACCTGTATCCCAGCATTTAGGGAGGCTGAGGTGGGAGGATCGCCTGAGCTCGGGATTCAAACCAGCCTGGGCAACATAGTGAGACCTCATCTCTACAAGAGTTTAAAAAATTGGCTGGGCATGGTGGCACATACCTGTTATCCCAGCTACTCAGGAGGCTGAGGCAGGAGGATTACTTGAGCCCAGGAGTTGGAGGGTATAGTGAGCTATAATTGCACCACTACATACCAGCCTGGGTGACAGAGCCAGAAGTGTCTCTAAATGTATAGATAAGAACATCCTCCTTGCCTTAGGGGAGCAGTGTTCTCTCCCATAGCTTCTCTGCGCACAGCCTGGAAGGCTTCCCTCAGGTCACAGGCTGGTAACTCCAGAGTGGGTGTGTCCAGATGTGTTTTCTTTTCTTTTTTTTTTTTTTGAGACGGAGTTTCGCTCTTGTTAGCCAGGCTGGAGTGCAATGGCGCGACCTCGGCTCACCGCAACCTCTGCCTCCTGGGTTCAGGCTATTCTCCTGCCTCAGCCTCCTGAGTAGCTGGGATTACAGGCATGCACCACCGTGCCCAGCTAATTTTTTGTATTTTGAGTAGAGACGGGGTTTCACCATGTTGACCAGGATGGTCTCGATCTCTTGACCTCGTGATCCACCTGCCTTGGCCTCCCAAAGTGCCGGGATTACAGACTTGAGCCACTGCGCCCGGCGGTGTTTTCTTTTTTATATCAGCCCCTGGGGGGCTTTTCTTCATCAGTAGCTGGGGAGGGGTCAGGACAGCTGGGGCTGTGAGATTGTGTCTCTTAAACTGGCCTCCTTCCTGGGGCCCTAGGGACCCACTTTCATGCTGCACCTGTGGCCACCATGTCTGCTCCTCGTCGCTCTGAAGCCAGGCAGTACACATATTCTCTGTCCACACTGGCCCCTTGCTGTCCCAAGTGTCCTCCTTGTACTTCCTTACCTCCCTGGTCTTGCTCATCTGTCTTTTTGGCCTCCCTTAACTCCTTTTCTGGTAAAATCCGCCTGTCGAAGCTCTGTGACGAGCACTGCCTGCTCTTGTGCCCTGCTGCACTTCACTGGGCTGAGCTGTCCCCAGCAGACTGTCCTCCCTGGGAAGTGGCCACAGCAGTGGGCTGAAGAACCCACACTCTGGAGACAGAGCCGGTGTGAATTCTAGTTTCATCACTAACACGCTGTGTGATGCTGGGAAGGCCATGAGTCCATTTTGTGCCTCTCCTGGAAAAGGGGGTAACGGTACCTACCTTGTAGGACCGCTACACAGGTGAACTGACACCAAACCTGCCCAGTGCTCAGAACTGAAGCTGGCAGGTGGTCCACATGTCACTCGCTTTTATTATTTGTAGCCTGGAGTCTAGAACATAGGGGAGTACGAATTCTGAATGGAGCGCTGTGGTGGCCATTTCCGAATGCAGATTGCTTGGATCGGTGGGGAAGAGGCCTGTATATGTTGCTTGGGCAAGTACAGTTGAAGGATGTGAATATTTAACTGATTCAGGAAAAATTCAAACACAAGAATAAGGAGAAAGAACTAACATACCCCACGCACCCAGTTCCCCAGCTTCATAATTACCAACCTCTGGCCCATCTTTTTGTCTCCATATCCTGCTCCTCATCCTTGCTCCTCCCCAACAGACATGCTTTTTAAGCAAATCACAGATGTGAAGAAAGTAATTTATGCTCCTAGTCTTAAAGGAAATTTCAAAAAGGAAAAAGATCAACCTATGGCATCTTCATTATGACCTAGGCTGCGGGCAGGGATGAAGGCATTCTTTCAGAGGTGAAGGAGAGGCTGGGAGGTCAAGGGGCTGCAGTCTGCAAGTCCAGGTCCTTCCAGGACACCCAGGAAAGCTCACAAACTGCAAACCCGCTTCTCCTTAGCCCCAGAGCCTAACTAGTTATTATTTTTAAGACAGTGTTTCTCTCTACACTCCTAGGCTGGGGTGCAGTGGTGTGATCACTGCAGTACACTGCAGCCTCAATCTCCCAGGCTTAAGTCATCCTCTTGCCTCAGCCTCCAGAGCAGCTGGGACTACAGGCACATGCCACCATGCCCAGCTACATTTTTTTGTAGCGAGAGAGGTTGCGCTATGTTGTCCAGGCTGGTTTCGAACTCCTGGCCTCAAGTGATCTTCCCACCTTGAACTCCCAAAGTGTTGGGATTAAAGGTTTCCACTTGGTTGGGCACAGTGGCTCACGCCTGTAATCCCAGCACTTTGGGAGGCTGAGGCGGGTGGATCGCAAGATCAGATGGAGACCATCCTGGCCAACATGGTGAAATCTCGTTTCTACTAAAATACAAAAACTTGGCCGGGCGTAGTGGCACACACCTGTAGTCCCAGCTACTAGGGAGGCTGAGGCAGGGGAATCAGTTGAACCCGGGAGGTAGAGGTTGCAGTGAGCTGAGATAGCACCACTGCACTCCAGCCTGGTGACAGAGCAAGACTCTGTCTCAAAAAAAAAAAAAAAAAGTTTCCACCACAGCACCCAGTCCCTAACTAGTTCTTAATAATTTTTGAGCCAGTCTGAGATACTCCACTCAAAAAAACAAACAAACAAGTATTAGTAACCTTTCCTCAATTCAGAAAAAAAAAATTAATGGATGGAATTCTTAACGCTGTCACATTCTCCTTAAATGTATTGTCTCTGCATCCACTTGCTGGCAACTCACTGCTGGTAGAACGCAGGGTGAATAAATAGTAAAAAAAGATGAATGGAAAACCCTGCAAACAGCTTACAGTGTAATCTGACAGCTTTCAGTGGACACATCTGCTTGTGGCTGTGATTTTATATTGCGCAGAATAATACATGGTTTGCTAGTAAAATTGTTCCTGCTTCATATGATGAAAGTACAAGCAACCTCAGCCCTGCGGCCCTGTCTCCTGGGCACTCCTCCCCTGGCAGAGCTTCCCAACAGCTGCTCTGGCTGCAGAGAGGGAGGCCAGGGTGGGACCCTGACACTGGGAAGGCTGACCAGGAATGAATGTGGACTCTCCTGTTAAAATTCCCAAGTGCCAACACCCAGTGCACGACAGAATTTACATGGGAGAGGGAAGGAATGCAGGAAGTTGACATGATTCCTTTCTGGGGTAGACAAAGAAGTGAGGCTAAGCAAAAAAGTAATTCTCATAAAAGATATTCCTGGGCCCAGAGCAGTGGCTCATGCCTGTAATCCTGGAACTTTGGGAGGCCAAGGAGGGTGGATCATGAGGTCAGGAGATCGAGACCATCCTGGCCAACATGGTGAAACTCTTGTCTCTACTAAAAATACAAAATATTAGCTGGGCGTGGTGGCACATGCCTGTAATCCCAGCTACTGGGGAGGCTGAGGCAGAAGAATCGCTTGAACTGAGGTGGAGGTTGCAGTGAGCCCAGATCACACCACTGCACTCCACTCTGGTGACAGAGCGAGACTGCCTCAAAAAAAAAAAAAAAAAAAATTCCCAGAATAATTTCTTATTGAGCATAAGGCCCAAGACAAACACCAAAGCTGGAAATGACAGCCGTGTCCAAGCACAGGGTTTCTTGGCTCCTTTTACTCTTGGACTCACACTTTCTGTTGACACGGCCTGCACGACCGAGTCAGTGCATCAGAGCACGCCCCACTGAAGCTTGAGTCCCAGTTCTGGGCAAAGCCCTCCCTCAGTGGGCCGTCCTCACAGCTCTTCTATCTTGGCATGAGAGCAACCCCATCCCTCCACGCCGGGAACCTACTCTAAGCTCTGGACGAGTGAGATATGACATGGAAAACCTGGCCTGGGGCTGCGGATGTAAAGCAGGAAAAAGGGAACTGGGAATTGAAAGATGCAAACCTGGAGATCAGGCGGGAAGGGAAAGGAGGCTCACTCTTCTGAGGTCACAACAGGCGGGGGGATGCGGCCCCATGCCCATTAGGGTGGTGACTCCCACACCCACCCTAAACCCTGGGACCCCCAGCTCTCCGGTTGCCTACCACTGCAGTTGGCCTCTTGGGAACTACGGCCTCATTCATCTTTTGTAGCATTTGAGGACACATCTTGCCTAGATGATCAGCTGGGTGAGACTCAAAGAAGGACACAGCACACAGTTTTTAAATAACTTTATAATTCCTGGTGGATTTAGTTTGTGAATAAAAAAGAAAAAATGAACAAAGTGTTTACAATAATTATCAAGGCAAAGTTGAATATAACACGATTTTTTTGTAATGTCATTATCCTGTCAGTAACACAACTCCAGCAGGAACACACACATACAGTTGAAGGCAGCGGGTGCATTTGCATCACAGACACCACCATGGAGGCTGCTACTGTTACCAAAAGGAACTCAAGCTACAAGGGGGCGGGCCCGGTGCTCCTCAGCTCCTCCATAAAGTGCAACACTTCTCTTCTGATGCATAGGGGAGCAAACCACAGGCCCCACTGGACATGCTGCAGTGCCCGGGCCAGTCCTGCAATGGGCCAGCAGGCCAGAGTGGGTGGTGCTGCCCTCAGGACGTGTGGCTGCAGTAGATGGATGCAATACTGGCGTGGTGTGGAAAGAGGGGCTGGACCCAGAGGTCCTGCTCTGGTCAGGGAGAATCTCTGGCTTCAGGAGGGTTCACTTCCTTTATCGACAGTGGCATCTCTGGGGCCAAGAGAGCGAGCCTGGGCCTAGGAGATCTGGGGTCTGAAAAAGCTCAAAGGGAAATAATCGAGGGCCTGAAGCCAGAAGGAACTGACATGGAGTACAGTTCATTCCACCTGGAATGCAGGCTCCAGGCTGGTCAGTGCTCACCTATGCTGGGTGGGTCACTGGATGAGATAGCACCAAGTGGGCAGGAGAGGTCCTGTGGCCTGCCAGGCAGGGGCTTCAGGGTCAAGTCCAGGTTACCATGCAGTATTAGGCACACTGAGCTAGGACCCACGTGGGGTGAGGGTGGTTATGGGGTCACAAACTGTGAAACCTCTACCCAGAGATCCTGAGCATGTATAGGAAAAACCTGGCACAGTGCGAGGCTCTGAGCCCCGAATTCTCGTTCCCTTTGCTCAGCAGGTGTCTTCTCCCCCAAGCAGTCACTACCTAAGCTGCCAGCCCGGGGCCACCTATGCCAGCTTGGGAGGAGGAGGGGAATGTGGCTGCCCCATAGCTTGAATTCCTTTATTAACAAAATATTGGTTTGCATTTTAAAAACACAGCTCTTTAATTTTTCATTTCTACAACTACGTTTTAATCTTTTAATAATCTCAATAATAGACACAATGTAACTGTCCCAATTCTCTGAATCACACAGACAATATCGACAAGCAGAGAAAGAAGAGAGGAGGTGGGATGGGACAAAAACCCGCTCCCCCAAATCAAGCCCTAAAACCACTTCTCCCCCAAGAGTCAGGAGAAGAACCTACAACAGGGTCACAGCACTTGCCAAACACATTAGAAAAAATCAGGAGACAGTTGGTTACAGTTTTGACACTAAAAAGTCAGAGATAGTTTTTGCTTAAAAAGAGTAAAGACAGCCATTTTGTTCAGAAGGATTTCCCTGTAATGTATGTCTTTTCTTGCCTAATTATTCCCTAATTTGCATGGGGGAAACTCCAGATTCTTTTTAAGACATTCCTTTGAGTGGTTCACGTCCCTTCCTGAGAAGCCCAGGGCTGGCAGTGATGGATGGGCTGGCCTTGCTCTACAGAGGATGCTTCATGCACTGCAGTCTCCTCATCCTTTTCCCTCAGTTCCGAACCCAGGCAGGCGAGGATGAGGCCAGGAACAGATGTGAAGTTACTGGTATTTGCTGACACAGGGTCCCCTGGGCTTTGGGAAATGCCTTGTGGTGTCGCACTCCATGCAGCGAGGTCTCCCACTTGGCTCTTCCGTCAAAGACTCCGAGGGTAGCCACAGGGCCTACACCGAAGTCACGCGGTCATCAGGAGGGCGGGATGGCTCCGGGAGGAACGGGACTCTGCAGCAAATCCAAATGCCAGTGGATGGGCAGTTTGGAAACATTTGTGTTTTGGGGTGACACATTATGGTTTCCTTCACAACCCTGACCCTCAATAGGGGAGGGATTAGTTCAACAGGTGGCTAAGACTGTGTCTGTGATGACTCTGCCTTCCTCTTCTCTCACTTTGGGGCTGGGTGAGCCTGCAAGTTTCTCATGGAAAATCAGACTTCAACTGACAAAAAATGGCAAATCACAATGCCACTCTCAACACTGGAGGCGGCCTTGGGTGTAGTCTGCTTTACAAGTTACTTCTAAAACCCAAGTATGAGGAGGGCGGAGAGCCATCCGCAGATCTTCTTTAGATTGTAAAGTGCAAGGACAAAGGTTAAAAGGTTAGAGCTGAGATGAATTTGGTGATTCCCATCTACATTTCTTTTTTTTTCCTTTTTGTGGAGAACGGGATCTTTCTATATTGCCCAGGCGGGTCTTGAACTCCTGGGTTCAAGCTATCCTCCTGCCTCTGCCTCCCTAAAAGCTCAGTCTTGCTCTGTCACCCAGGCTGGAGTGCACTGATGTGATCTTGGCTCACTGCAGCCTCTGCCTCCCAGGCTCAAGTGATCCTCCTGCCTACCAAGTAGCTGTGATTACAGGTGTCCACCACCAAGCCTGGCTAATTTAGTAAAGATGGGGTTTTGCCATGTTGACCAGGCTGGTCTTGACTCCTGATCTCAGGTGATGTGCCCACCTCAGCCTCCGAAAGTGCTAGGATTACAGGTGTGAGCCATTGTGCCCAGTCCCATCCATATTTCTTATGCCCAGTCCCATCCATATTTGAATGGGTTAAAGCCCATTCAAAATCTTTCCCATTTCAAATGGTATCAAAGTCCTTGCAAATCTCAATGGAGACCCTTCATCAGTGATTCAATGAGTACGGGGGTTAGCGGCATATGAAAGGATGGGAACCTCACACTACTTCTTCAGTTACAAAACCCCTCTGGGATCACACCCACTCTTCTTCTTGCCCTCTTTACAGTGACACTGACTTGGGGTACAGATCTTTAGGTGCAAAGGGCAACTAGACTTGCCAATGGATGAGTCTGGGGAAGAGTAGTAAGGGCAACCCACAGTGAGTTTTCAAGGCTATGTAACGTCAGAAGCACGTGTGTGACCTTATGAAACCATGACTACTAGGAGAGGGCCATGGAATGACAAGTCCTAGTGAGACGGGAGTGGGACATTTGGTAAGTATTGGTTCAGTGAATGTTCTAGACTCAGTGAGATACTCTGAATGCTACAAACTGCATCCACTTGCCCTACAGCGTAAAGGCAGGCCATGTTTATTATTGAACTCTTAGCCAGGCTCCAGATCATTGGAGATGCCAGACCAGTGCCCAAGAGGGACCAAGAAGATTCCTTGCTGTTCATAGAGACCAGACAGATGACATCTGTCCCAGAAATTTTCTTCTCAGAAGCACGGTCACAGAGGGCTTCCTTTTGTAAGTTTTTCTGGAGGGGAAGTGATAGAGAATGTTGAGACGAAGAGAGAGTCACTCACCCAGCAGGTGAGAGTGGAGGTGCTGTACCTGATGAGAAAGGCCACGTGGGTGGGATCTGGGATGTCTGCTTGATGCCCTTCCTGCTAGACCAGAGGGAGAACAGCTGGCCAGGGTCAGGCCACTTTAGGCATTGCCTCACCTGCTTTCTTGGTTCTGCTGTGGCCTGTGATGGCTGTTATCATACCCCATTCCTTTACATTATGGTAGATAAAGTGAGATTCTAATACTCCTGCCTTGAAGTACTGGGAGCTTTCCACATGATTTACGGGCCCAGCAATAAACAGAATTGAGGTAATTGACCACAAAGGACCACCACTTACTAACTCCTGCACCCCTCTCTCACCAGCCTTGCTCTCAGGAAGCATCTCAGTTAGAGGTTTATGAGCAGAGTCCATTTAAACCTTCAGTAAGAAATGCTCCACAGTTTCTCACAGGGAGAGGAATTGTTTTACAGCAGGGAATAAGGGGAGCTGGAGAGCTGACCATATAAGTTAATGAGACAGTCAAGGGCTGGTGGTGGGAAGTTCTTGGACTGATGGGGCTGTGCTGACTTTAGAGAGTTTAAATTCTCTCAGTAAGTGGGGAAGGTGACGAGAAAATGCAAAACAAAAACATTTTAGAGTCCAGCAAGCAATTCTTATCAGAAGATGTGTCTGCTGGGTTCTGGTGGTAGAGGTGGTCAAAGGGCTACATTCGGGCTAAGTGGGCTACTTCTTGGTGCCTAATTACTTATGACTGCCACTGTCCATACTTGGGAAGATGCCCTTAACAACGCCAGTACCTTCCATTGGATTTGCAGTCTTGGGGTCCGCTTTCTGATTTGCAACATGAAGCTGGCTGAGTTCCATGAGGTACATGCAGGTGGTAGGAAATGGCCACCCACAAGTAGATACTCAGAGTCTCTCTAAGGGCAACAACGAACAGCAAAAATCCAGAATTATCAAATAGAATCCTATAGGCAAGTGGGTGACTGAGGCCCCCAAACTTAGGAATTCCATTAGGGAACTTTTCTAGAAAAGATACCTTTTCTTAAGAAAGGGAGAGGAAAGGGCAAGCTACTTAGAGCTCCTGCTCAGGCAGGTATGTCTCACAGACTCCACTACACCTCTCCCTCACTGAAAAGTGGCCTTTTCAAGGATGGGTGACTTGGACACAGTAGGCATTTCATAAATATTCTCTGAATGAAATGATCAAGGAAGGAATGTGTAGAACGAGAAACCTTCATTTATGCCAGAAGAAGGTTCCAGGCAATGCACAAGGCTGAGGTTATGAGAGGATGAGTCAAGGGCAGAGCTAGCAGGATGAGTGACAGATCAAAACATCAGTGGTCACTGGGCCACAGGAACTTGGGACATGGGTGTGGGGTAGGCAGGCAGCCTTCTGGAGATGATCAGGGCATCTGCTACTGGGGCACAGCTGCAGGTGGGCACAACAGGGCCTCAGATGTCAACTTTGTATGTTCTGTTTTTAGTTTTTTTGTAGAGACAGGGTCTCGCCATGTTGCCCTGGCTGGTTCTCTTTCAACCTCATATGCTCTCCTGCAATTAGAGATATTTGATCTAACACCTCACTATGATAAGGTCAGCAGTCTCAAACAGGAGAGACTGGTGGAGAACAGTTCACACTATCTTCTTGTTAACTGGCTGAGGAACAGAGTGAGGAAGGCTGGGACAGACAGGCAGGGCTGGGTGAAGACTCAGACTGTGGCAGACAAGCACTCCCAAGCCATCGCGAGGCCTGCTCAGAGCTCCTTTGTATAAAGCATCTCACTGTAAAAAGAAGAGTTGATTTTCTCTTCCCTCCCCCTTTCTCTTTTTCTAATATTCTTTTTGAGATTGTTTTTTACCCTTTTAGGAGAAAGCACCTAATGTGATATTAGAACAGTCAGCTCTCTGGTCCGCTGGAGGCATCCTCTCAGCCCAGTGAACTCCAAGTAGATTCCTGGTTTGTTCTCATGTTAGAGGACAGGTGGTGAGAGGCTCCTCTGCTCCATGGCCCTCTGTCAGGGCAGAGCCACCAGCTCCCAGAGTTCTCCACTGCTGACGACCAGGTGGCACTTCTTCAGAGAGACTTGACCTTTTATCCATCCTGAACATCAGGAAGATTAGTGTAGAGACCACATCCAAAGCAGAAAGGCAGAGTAAGATGGCAGATGTAGAAACAGTGCTGGAATCGCACTTCTTCAAGTGAGCAAGATGGGATGAAGTTTGTAGTGTTTGGTGCCAAGAAGGTTCCGGGTGCCTGTTCCTTGTAGTTCTCCTTTCTTGGCTCCTGGGTTGACCACCTCAGGCTTCCGCACAAAGCAGGGTCAGGAGGACTCTTCCAGTGCGTTGACCACTTGCTCTAGGATGTCGGGGCAATGGTCTGCTATCTGCTGAAGAATGGCGTTGGCAAACTCCTGCAGCTCCGCGTTGTCCCGCTCACCTTTCTCTAACTCATTCTGAAGCTGAAAGGAAAAGGAAGATGGGTTTCAGATACAACAATCCTATTTGCACTGAGCTAAGAATTATTGTTCATCAATACATGACAAAAAAGGCACTTTCTATGTGAAGTGTCTCTGCATCAAAATTAACCATAAGAAAAGTGTAAAAGTCAATATCAAATGTGTCTTCATGAAAGTGAAGCCTGAAAAGTCAGTCACTGGCTCTAGGCCCAAAGCGGATCATTTGCAGAGCTGTGACTTCAGCCCTGGCCTCTCACTTTAAACAGAATGTTCTTTCCACCAAGTCAGACTCATGAATGCGGGTGGGAGTGGGAGAGAGGGGCGCTATGATCTCAGATGGGATCTTAACCTTGTCAAGTGACCCCTGCCCTAGAGGAACTTATAATTAAAGGACTTCTCCATTTGCATGTATCACTTTCATTCGGTACATTAGCCTATCCTACCTGAGGCCTGCTGATTTAGCTAAAGAGATTACTTTGAGAAACACAGATAATCCCTTTGTTTAGAAGAAAGTATAGTTCTAACTTCCTGTTGTTTTTAACAACCTCTTTCACATTCCTTCAAGCATTTTAACCAACATTTATTGAGCTACTCTGTGCTGGGTGCTAAAAGTTGAAGGGATTTGGTCCTTGTCCTGAAGACCCATTGGAGACAAGGACATAAACAGATAAACGACCACCCAGCAGAGTGAGACCACAGCTGAGGCTTAAGCATGTGTGGGGCAGCCCTAAGAGTGACTGTCTCACCCTGGAGGAGTCTGAGGAAAAGCTACTAAAGGGGCATGGGGTCTGGATCTTGAGAGCTAACTAGAGTCTACCTGGGAGATCAAAGACAGAAGAGGCTGAGAGCAGAAGAACAAAGGCTGATGCAGGGAGCGAGGACAGGGCTGGCCCAGGTCTTAGGAAAAGGGAAGCCTCAGGATGGCAGCAGTGTAAGGCATGGGAAGTGGGTGGAGAATGACGGGAAATGGAGCTGAAGACACACTTGAGGACCTGACTGAGCATGTGAAGTGAGAGAGTTCCAGTGTGATCTGCTTAAAAACCAAACCAAAACCAAAACCACAAAAAAAGGAGTCCACGGGTTTTTAAGTGGTACAGTGACACGAGCATCTTCACTTTCTTAGATGACAACTTGGAAGATGTAAGAGATAGACTGAGCAGAAGGAAGAGTCCGTCAAGGGCGGTTCCTGTTCCCCGCCCAGGTGGGGTTTAGGCAGGGCTGAAGCCAAGGGAGGGACAGTGACTTGAAAAGGACACATAGGACTGAAAGGAAGACGACTTATGTGAGGGAGAATTGGAGAATCATTTCTGACAATTCTAGCTGGGGATATTGGACAAATAAGAAAGAAAATGTAGGAGGCAGAGCAGGTTTTAGGAAGGAAAGGAGGAAAATGAAAAATGGAATATAAAGTATAGTTAAGAACATAGGCTCTGGAGTTAGGCTGCCTGGGTTTCAACGTCAGTTCTGCCAATTACTTTATCTGACCTTGACTTCTCTGAGTCTCAGTTTCCTCCTCTGTAAAATAAGGCAATAAGAACGTCAGGCCAATGTTTTAAATTTTAATTTTTTGGAGAGATGGGGGTCTATGTTGCCTACGCTGGTCTTGAACTCCTGGGTTCAAGTGTTCCTCCTGCCTCTGCCTCAGCCTCCCAAAGTGCTGAGATTACAGATATGAGCTACTGTGCCCTATCTTAGAGGGCTGCTTTAAGGATTTAATGAGATAGTCATACAAAGTGCAGTGTAATGCCTAACACATAGAAAATGCTTGACAAATGTTAGGTATTCTGTTATTAAACGGGTAAGATCACCCAGTAACAGCATATAGATTGAAAAGCAAAATGAGAGCTGGGTGCAGTGGTGCATGCCTATAATCCCAGCTACTTGGGAGGCTGAGAGTAAGAGGATCGTTTGAGTCCAGCCTGGGCAACCCAGTGAAACCCCATTTTTCTTTCTTTCTTGTTTCTTTTCTTTCCTTCCTCCTCCCTTCATCCTTTCCCCTCTCTCCCTTTCTCTATTTATTTGAGACAGGGTCTCCCTCTATTGTCCCGGTTGGAGTGCAATGGTTTGATCAGACTCACTGTAGCCTCGACCTCCTGCTGCAGCCTCTTAAGTAGCTGGGATTACAGGTGTGTGCCACCATGCCTGGCTAATTTTTGTATTTTAGAGATGGGGTCTAACTATGTTGCCCAGGCCGGTCTTGAAATCATAGCCTCAAGTGATCCTTCTGCCTCGGCCTCCCAAAATGTTCAAATTACAGGTTCGAGCCAGCTGAGATTCCATCTTAAAACAAATAAACAAAAAAAGGCAAAGCAAACTGAGAGTCAAGTTTTAATGCCACTGCAAGAATCTAGATGCTCAGCACAATACAGGGGGAAAAAAAAAAAGAATCTAGATGCTCTGAGCCAAGAATTAGCACAGCACATTTTAAACATATCAAAGAGTTAAGAACAGACCTAGCAATCTTCTTTCTCCTAAATGGTGACTAAAAGACCAGGACACTGAGGGGCCACATTTAGACCACAGTGTCTTGGTACATCTCAAGCTCTGGCTGTGCCACATGAAAAAGGATCTCTTCAACAGGGAAAGCCAGGAGGCTGGGTACCTTGTAAATACAATGCATAGAAAACCCAGAAATGCTGCTAAGTGAAAAGGCTACGAACTCTCAAGTCTCAGTAGAACTGACATCAACCAAGCTACAGAAGAGGCTGTGGGGCAGTGTTGCTTCAGTGTCCCATCTCGATCCTTCCCAGGAATATTCCAGACAATTCTAGTTTCTATTCTGAGCCAGGTATCTCTTCTTCACTCTCTACAAATCGCTTATTTATTTCCCATGAAATATTCTTTATTCTAATTGGACTTCTCTTATGTTAAGTAGATAATCATGAAGTTACTAAAGGATACAATTTAGTTTAAGAACCTTTTTTCAGGATTTTTCTGCAATTTAAAAGTGCTTCACAGCTGGGTACAGTGGCTCACGCCTGTAATCCCAGCACTTTGGGATGCTGAGGTGGGTGAATCACTTGAGGTCAAGGGTTTGAGACCAGCCTGGCCAACATAGTGAAACCCTGTCTCTACAAAAAAAAAAAAAAAAAAAAAATCAGCTGGGTGTGGTGGTGGTGAGCACCTGTATTCCTAGCTACTTGGCTGGGGGTGGGGTGGGGGCGGGGTGTGTGGCTGAGGCAGGAGAATCACTTGAGGCAGAGGTTGCAGTGAGCTGAGATGGCGCCACTGTACTCCAGCCTGGGTGACAGAGGGAGACTGTCTCAAAAACAAAAAAACTTGAAAACCTCAGTAGATGGAAGGAGTTTCAATTTTACTGTACATACTTTTGTTCTGTTTATAGCATAAGCAACATCAATTTTGCAATGAGGGATATAAACAAAAATATATAACATAAATATCCTTAAAAACTGTATATACTAACACATGGTTTCCTAAGGAAAGAAAGAAAGAAAAAAAAAAAACTGTATATACTTGTAAAGTTACAATTCTGATATTCTATGATCTTAAGCAGGGAAAAAGTGAAGTGTATAAAATATCCACTGAAAAAGTATTAACTGACTGGCCAAAAATAAGGAATGAAGTTCTGACACATGTTACATTATGTAAAGCTACACTATGTAAAGTATATAAAAACATTATGCTAAATGAAAGAAGCCAGTCTCAAAAGACCACATATTGTATGATTCTATTCTTTTTTTATTTTCAAGACAGGGTCTCATTCTGTTGCTCAGGCTGGAGTGCAGTGACAGGATCTCAGCTCACTGCAACTTCCGCCTCCCAGACTCAAGTGATCCTCCCACCACAGCCTCCCAAGTAGCTGGGACTATAGGCGCATGCCACCGCACCTGGCTGATTTTTGTAGAAATGGGGTTTCGCCATGTTGCCCTGGCTGGGCTCAAACTCCTGGGCTCAAGTGATCTCTCCACCTTGGCCTCCCAAAGTGTTGGAATTACAGGCGTGAGCCACCATGCCCAGCCTGATTCCATTCTTAATGAAATTCCAGAGTAGCCAAATCCAGAGTTGGGAAGTAAAATTAGCAGCTGCTCGGGGCTAGAGCGGGATGGGGTGATTGGCGTTGACTGCTAATGCGGGGGGCTTCTTTTTGGGATGACAAAAATATTGGAAAATTGATTATGGTGATGGCTGCATAACTCTGAGAACACACTAAATCTACCAAATTATGCACTTGCAATGGGTGAATTATATGTAAGTGAATTACATCTTAATAAAATTATAAGAAATTGGCCGGGCATGGTGGCTCACACCTGTAATCCCAGCACTTTGAGAAGCCCAGGCAGATGATTCACCTGAGGTCAGGAGTTCAAGACCAGCCTGCCCAACATGGTGAAACCTCGTCTCTACTAAAAATACAAAAATTAGCTGGTTGTGGTGGTGGGTGCCTGTAATCCCAGCTACTTGGGAGGCTGAGGCAGAATAATTGCTTTAACTCGGGAGGTGGAGGTTGCAGTGAGCTGAGATCACACCATTGCACTCCAGCCAGGGTGACAAGAGCAAAACTCCGGCTAAATAAATAAATAAATAAATAAACAAACAAACAAGCGAAACTATACAAAATTGACTGAGTGCTCTATGCAAAATGTTGTGTAGTGAATGCCCACAAAGATGTTTGTGGCCTTTAGTTTGGACAGAAAGGAAGATGGGGGTTCGTGGGGGGGGGGGGGAGTGTGTATTTTCTTGACAGCAGAGGCCAGAAAAGGGTCATTTCAAATGGAAACACAGTGTGAGCTGAGGCACAAAGGAGGAAAGGCACTGTGCTGCTCACTGCAGTTCTGGGGCACAGGAATCACTGGATCTTGACGGAAGCAATTCTAGCTCTTCAAGAGAGAAAAACGGCCCCTGGGCTGGCCAGACAGGCACCACTCCTCAGCAGACCCCCATTCCATTACACAGTTTCAACAAGGCCACACCTTAAGGGCACTGTGTTCCGTTTCAGACACCTCATTACCAGAAAAATGGAGACAAACTGGAGTAAGTTCAAA